ATGCAGGATGAAAGAGCTGGCAGCCCTAGGGTTGGACCACATCGAGAAGGGAGCACTGTGAAGGAGCAAATTTCTTGCTTGCCCCCTTGTAGTAGGCATTTTGTTCCTCCTGTTTGTAGCCAGCCTACTGCAATACTTCTTTCCTTTTGCTAACATGTGCGTACTTTATACCACGTTTTTGTGAGTGCATGCCTATTGCTACATTTCATGCTTGATCTTTCTTTGATGTGTTTTCCTGCTCATGTAATTTTCAAGTTTGGGGTTATTTTTCTGTCTCTAATGATGTTTTGATCATCTCCAAGAACTCCAAATTTAGTGTTAGCCACTTGTGAACGTAGCAGCAATGTAGTAGCCCCATAATGATTATTTGGTTCCCAAAAACGCCATTAAGCCTCACCAAGGAACATGACAATTCTGCCGTTTAAACTGCGATCATTGTCACCCTTTATCTTTACAGCTGCCTTGAAAGCCTTTCCTCAATTTTGTTTGATTTTCCTCTTAGGCAGCATTCTTGTAATAAAGTAAAATAAAAATTCATAGTATTTATTGCTGCAATAGCCAGTATTTTCCTCGCCTTTGGCCAAAACAGAACACACACACAGACACACAGACACACAGACACACAAAACAGCAGAGTCCTGATCCAGAACGTCACCTCTCCCCCAGCCACCTCCTTGTCAGAGACAAACTCCGTGTGAACTTGGAGGCCAGAGAGCCTTGGGCAGTTAGTTCAGTGATTACAGATCCGGTTGTCTTGGTGGCTAACATTCTTTAGCCTCTGTATTATCATTTCTCTTTACCCGAATACACACGAACCCATTAGCCCTGTGAAATGTCGGTAGATCAGAACACACCTCACTGAAGGTGCTTCCATAAAAAATGCGAGGCAACTGGACAGCTCTCAGAAAACGCTGAAAGGCTGCTCAGCCCAGACAGCCAGGGCATGTGCCGAACCCGAGGATGGGAGAGGTTCAGAGATTTGATGAATTCCTCTGGCCACAGGATGCCAGTATTGAACCACGTTCTGTTTGACAGCATTCCTAGGGTGAAATGAAGAGGGGCTCTTGAGGGACTAGACACACAGAAAGCTTTCTCCTGCCATCTGTGACAGCGTGCTTAATTCTCCTGGCCCTTTATGTATTTATTTGTTTATAGAAACACCAGCTTCTCACCCAAGGAAAATGGGGCAGAATAGCCACTGATATATTTAGCAGATAACCGGGTGATACCCAGCCCTGGCAAAACCCAGCCAGACTCCCAGCAGCCACTTTACTTGGCAGTCTGGGTTTACGAGCCAGACCCTGTCATGGCCGAGAGTGAGTGGGGTCACTGGAAGTTGGTCCCTGTTGCTCAGGGCGACAAAGGAGGACAGCTGCATTTAAACAAAGTATTTGATTATAGAGACTCATACTGGGCAGCACCAGCGGAATGACTGTATCCATCTCCGTGATGGTGACTAGGCAATGCCCCAGTCCTAAAAGCATCTGCTGCTTACAGTGTGCTGTGGTGACTTCATTTATGATTCCTCAGTGAGAGCTGCTTAGTGCATTGGACAGACGCTTCATGCAGACTGCAGTGCCACATGTGAGATTAGTTAAGCTTGCCCACATTTCTTGTGGGCCCAAACCATCTTCATTGTAGGATAAATAAGACCATCCATGTGAAAAGGTTTTGAGGTATTTAAAAAAAAAAAATACATGCTATTATTCTAATCCCGACTTCTGGGGAAGATGGTTCTTGTGCTAGTATTTCACGACTTCTGGCTGTAGTTCCTGTGATTGTACCAGGTGTGGTTGGGAAATCAGATTCTGCAAGGTCAGTTGTTTCAACTGGTTTCAGGAATACCTACTGAATAGGAAAGGTAAAACTGAAAATACAATTGCTGTTTGGTCTTGTAGTGACTGTAAACAGCAAATACAGACTCACTGGCTCTACTTTATTGAAAGAAATAGTATCATGGTTGATTATCCATAAAGCCGAAGGACTTACATGAGCACGAGTATAATTGAATGCCACACGCCTGGGCTTTCCTGGCAAGCAGGAAGCTTCCTCAGAGGCTTACTTGTGTCTGTTGAGACCCCATCTAACAGCATAAAGAGGTTCTGTAGAGATTGATTACAAAGATAAGAAGTGACCAAGAAGTAATGTCCTGGGAAACCAGTCACAGAGTTCAAGGACTACCAAGATAAAATGACCTTAGAAATTATCTAGCCTAGTGGTTTCTACACTTTAGTCTATCTGAATCACACATTTCTAGGCTCCACCTTCAGTTTCCAATTCAGTGGTTCTAGGGTGGGGGTTGTAAAGATGCTTTTTGAATATCATAGCTGGTCTGCAGAATACACTCTGAGAACCACAGACCAAGTCCAAGTCCCTCATTCTTCTTTGTTAAATTAATTTATTTTTATTGAGATACTAGAGACCCAGTGCATGAATTCGTGCACGCGTGGGGGCCGGCTGGGGGAAGGGGCCCCAGGCGGTTGGCAGGCTGGCCCCACCCCCTGGTCGAACTCCAGTCGAACTCCCGGTCAAGGGGACAATTTGCTTATTACTCTTTTATTATTGGCATATAACATTGTGTATATTAAAAGTGTAAAATATGTTGGTTTGACAATTTATATACTGCAATATGATTACTACAATAGCGTTAGCTAACAATAGCTTTTTTATGTCATGTATTTATCATTTCTTTTTTTTGTGTGTTGAGAATAGTTAAGATTTAGTGTTTGAGCAACTTTTATAATATGGTACATTGACAATAATCACTATGGCATGCATTACATAGAACTTATTTATTTACTAGTTTTAAGTCTGCATCCTTAACATCTCCCCAATTCCCCCACTCCCTATCCCCTGATCATCAACATTCTACTCTGTCTTTACATGTTCAGTTTGTTTAGATTCCACACACAAGTTATACCATACAGTATTTGTCTTTGTCTGATTTATCTCACTTAGCATGATGTCTTTATTTTTTTTAATTTCAGAGAGGAAGGGAGCAGAGAGATAGAAACATCAATGATGAGAGAGAATCATTGATTGGCTGCCTCCTGCACACCCCCCAACTGGTAACCAAGCCTGCAACCCAGGCATATGCCCTTGACTGGAATCGAACCCATGACCCTTCAGTCCTCAGGCCAACGCTCTATCCACTGAGCCAACCTGGTTAGGGCAGCATGATGTCTTTAATGTCCACTCATGTTTTTGCAAATGGCAGGATTTCCTACTCTCTCACGGTTAAATAATATTTCACTGTTTGTATGTGTGTCACATCTTCACTCATTTGTTGATGGACACTTGTGCTGTTTCCAAATCTTACACATTGTGAATAATGCTTCAGTGAACATGAGTGGGCAGATATCCCTCCGAGATACTGATTTCAGTTCCTTTGGATACATACTCAGGAATAGGATTGCTGGGTCAAATGGAAGTACTATTTTTAATTTTTTGAGGAACACCCATACTGTTTTCCATATGGCTGTTCCAATTTACATCCTCACCAACAATGTATAAGGGTTCCCTTTTCTTCTTATCCTTGCCAACATTTGATATCTTTTGGCCTTTTTAAAATATTTTTTTGGAAGAATATGAATTTTTTTTTATTGTCTCTCTTATGTAAGGGTTTGGTTTGAATGTTCTAGGCCAGCAGGCCTCTATGCTCCATTTAACCATCAGGAACCCTGGTCTCTTCATCCCCTGGGGCAGTGCCACTTAAAGTATGGACTGCAAACAAGTCTAGCTCATGAACTGCTTGGTAACAGTACTATGAATTGAGTCATAACATCCTAACATATGTAAGGTAACATCTCATTGTGGTTTTGTTTTGCATTTTTTTTTTTTTTGACGATTAGTGATGTTGAACAACTTTGTGTATGTCTGTTGGCCATTTGTATATCTTCTTTGGAAAAAGGTCTATTCAGGACTTTTGCCCACTTTTTAAATTGGATTCTTTCTTTTTCTGCTATTGATTTATCTGAGTTCGTCATAGATTTTGGAAGTATGCTTTGCTAATATTTTCTTCCATTCTGTAACTTGTCTTTTCAACTTATTGTTTCCTTTGCTCGGCAGAGGCTTTTAGTTTAATGTAGTCATAATTGTTTTACTTTTTGTTGTCTGTGCTTTGGTGACTTAACCAAGAAATCATTGCCTAGATCAGTGGTCAGCAAACTGGCCCCTTGAGTGTGGCTCTTCCACAAAATACCACGTGCGGGCGCACACGTACAGTGCGATTGAAACTTCGTGGCCCATGCCACGGGGCCAAAGAGCCACATGTGGCTCGTGAGCCGCAGTTTGCCGACCACTGGCCTAGACCAATGTCAAGGACCTTTCCCCCTGTGTTTTCTTCTAGAAGTTTTGTGGCTTCAAGTCTTACATTAAAATTTTTGGTTCATTTCAAGTTAATTTTTGAGTGATATAAGGCAAGGATTGTTTCATTTTTTTCTTGCATGTGGATATCCAGTTTTATGTCCTTTCTCTATTGTGTGTTCTTGGTACCCTTCTCAAAAATAAGTTAATTATATAGGGAGGTTTGTGTATCAGTTCTCTATTTTGTTCAACTAAGTTATGTGTTTATTTTTATGCCAGGACCATACTATTTTGATTACTATAGCTTTGCATTATAGCTTGAAATTAGGTATCATGATGCCTCCAGGTTTGTTCTTTCTCAGTATAGCTTTAGTTATTTGGGGTCTTTTGTGGTTTCAAACAAATTTTATGACAATTTTTCTACTTATGTTAGAAATGCCATTGGAATTTTGATTAGGATTGCACTGAATCTATAGATCATGTTGGGTCTAATGGACATTTTCTCAATATTAATTCTTTCAATCCTGGAACACAAAATATTTTTCTATTTCTTTGTGTCTTCTTTAATCTCTTTTATCAGTGTCTTACAGTTTTCATTTCCTTGATTAAGTTTCTTCCAAGTATTTTATTGTTTTCAGTGCTATTGTAAATAGGATCACTTTCTTGATTTCTCTTTTAGATAATTTGTTGTTAGCGTTCAGACGTGCTACTGATTCCTGTATGTTGATTTATACCCTGCAATTTTACAGAATTCATTCATTACTTCTGACAATTTTTAGTGGCTTCTTTAGGATTTTCTATATATAAGATGTCATCTGTGAACAGAGATAATTTTACTTCTTCCTCTCTGATACGGATATCTTATACTTCTTTTTCTACTTAATTGCTAATTGCTCTGGCTAGGATAACAGTACTATGATGAGCCATCCTTACATTTCTGAGATAAATCCCACTTGATCATGGTGAATGAGCCTTTAATATGTTGTTGAATCTGGTTTTCTAATATTTCGCTGATAATGTTTTCAGCCATATTAATCAAAAAAGTATTGGTGTTCATTCTTCATATTTGGTAGAATTCACCAGTGAAACCATCTGTTCCTGAGCTTTTCTGTATTGGGAAAAATTGATGGGTTTGAGCCTTGAGCTGCCTGGGGAATGGGGCCGGGGTAGTAACAGTGCCCCTATCAATAATGGGTCAGAGCCAGTACCTGGGACCCAGGGGGCAGGGCTTGGGGAAGCAAGAGCTATTTCAACAATGACAGTTCAGAGTCTTGACCAGGATGGAGGGAGAGGAGGGTGAATCAGCACCAACACAACCCTAAATAATGGCAGGCAAAGTGTTACTTGGGACCCTGGAGGCTGGACTCAGTGGGGGAAGCTGCCTCAGTAATGCTGGGAAAATGCCTGACCTGGGCCCAGTTGGGCAAAGAGAAGTGGCAGCTCAGGTCTTGTGTATGGTTAAGATGCTGTGGCACCCAGTCCCTGAGAATGGGGCACAGCAACCAGGGAACCTGAGGCCATCTCACTTCAGCAACAGCTCCAGGATCTGAGAATAGATACAGAGGTGGGGGCGCTCCAGGCTGCTCCATCAGGGGATCAGCATGTTCAAGACTGTGGGAGACCTCTCTAGCAAAAGTTGCAAATGTCCACAATGGTGAGGTTTGCTGGGGTTCTCCGGCTCTCTTTCTCTGGGAACTTTCTTAGATCTCTGGCTGGGGGATGCAGTGATGTAGACAAAATACTTTTCTTACTTAACTATGTGGCCATCCTTGATTTCTGAGCTCTGCCAGGTTTTTGCTGCATTTTTGTTGTTGTCTAGACTCTAGAGCTTTTCCTGAGCTATTTTCTTCCATTTGTAGCTATTTATTGTCCTTGTTTTCTTAAGGCGGTGATGAGCATTGGGACCTCCTACCCTTTTAGCTTGCTGATGTCACTCCCAAGCCCCTCATTCCTATAGATGAGGCAAATGAGATCCTGGGAGATGAAATGTTTTGCTCAATAATACACTACAAGTTTGATACTGGAAATTTTATTCTGATTCTTCTCTTGATTTTGCTGAGGAATTGATTGTAATCTCATAGGTACAAAAACAAAGCAATTTAAAACTGAATATGAAATGTGTTTTTGAACAGTTATTTACATCTTGATCCTATTGTCTCAGAATATTTTCAGCCTCCTGATTCATAAATAAAAGTCCTTATTTTAATAGAAAGTATTAACATATTCTTCTGAGACGTCATCATGTGAAGTTATAGAAGTGACATACATTAATTGAGCAAGATAGGATTCTAATGAAGTAAATAATTCTTGTAAGTGCTCTATGAAATAGTTGTGTGTTTTCAGTATTCAACCCCAAATAATTCACATTTTGCTGTTGTTTTATGTATTTCTGATTTCTGTACATTTTTAATTTTTCTTCATTATTTCTTTGTAGGCAGAATAACCAGAACATTACAAATAATACTGGAAGTTGTACCAGAAGAAGATTGTCATAAATTATAAATTAATGCATTTGCAATCTTGGCAATCTATCCTTGGCTTTGTTTCTGCCCAAAGGGCTGAAACAAAGTATGGACATTCACTTCATTTTATGAAAATCCAGAGGACTGCGGCTTTGGTGATGGAATAAAGGAGTCAGTCATTTTTATTCAGATCTTTTTAATGTATTCAAACCGGTTGCTAAGAAATTTAGTTATAACTCCATGTAATTGTAGAAAGCTGATATGCAGCTCTACCACGAGTTCACGTGATTCTTGTGTCCCTGATACCTACCTGTTGAGGTGAGGGGAAAAGACTACGGGATGGACAGTTACCTCAGTGGTCTTTCTCTGTAACATATCATGGCTAAGAAACTTCAAATTGAAGACTGAGGTGTTTTCTGTATATATAGGTTTTGTAAAAACATTTTTTACCTACTATAGAAGGCCATACTGTGAAAAGTGTTTTCTATTCTTCTAGAGAAAGAACAAAAAAAGCATATGTCAACACTATGGACAGAGGAAAGAAAGAAATTTATGTTACATGGGCATTGCATTGCTTCCCCTTTGGTGCCAACTTAGATGTCACTCATCTTTTAAGGGTTAATACTAACAGCATTGTGAACAAAGGACAGAGGGGGTATGCCTAACTTTAATAAATACATTAAAGAAGAGCTTCTAGGAGCTATTGTTTACAAATTCAGGAACTATGTTTGTGTAAAAATCATTGAGAACTTAATATGTTGGGATATTTTTTTTTCACTCCTCATTAAGAAGCTTTGTGGTTGTCTGACATTTTGTTTTCATGGCAGCCCATTTGATCAGGAAAGGATGTAAGTAATATCCTTCTTACAGCAAAGCAATAGTCAATTTGGTATTAAATCCTTTTAAGCACCATTACCTGTTTTAAAAATAATTTACCCTTGATAAATATATCTAAATATGTGCATTTTCAAATCTTCAAATTAAAATATCAATGTTAAAACAGAAATCACCAAGAAAGAAAATGCCCAAAATATTATACCTAACCCTATAATCATATCTATGTGCAATGATAGCAATTTTGGACAATATTTTTAGTTTATAGTTATTTTTACATGGTGATGAATTTTGACAGGTTGTACATTTCCTAATTGTATTTTATATTGTTAAAATATCTCTTCAGATAAAACTGTGCAGATCAATTAGGAAATGACATATATTTACATAAAAATTGAGGAAGAAATGCCGCTGCTAAATAAGATTCACAACTGATGTTTCTAAAAATTTCCCACTTCTATATCTAGGTTTTGTCAATAATTTGTTCACCTTAATTATCATTTAATCTGCAAAAGAGATAACTGGTAACAGACTCACTAAAAGAGAGAGAAATTGTGCTTGCATGTGTATATCCAGACAGGTGTTATTATGCTAGGTTCCGAAGCTATTGTGCAATTTTCTAATGATAGTAATATCATGATGACATTTGTTAACTGTTATTTACACACATCCACGGTTAAGTAGTTCATCATAGCCAGAGTTATGTTTCATCCTTTAATTTTTTGTCCATTTGAAAATAAGAATTTTTGAAAGAATTACACTGGTTAAAATCATTCAGAGAAGATGTAGAGTTCACAGACAATTGACAAAGTAGTAATGATATTTCATAATTTGAGACAATTCCAATTCACAAATTTCAATTTTTTCTCTTGATAACATTTAAAATATATTTAAGATTGACATTTCTTAAACAAACCTACTGTTTGGGTCTATAAGTGAATTCATAGGGTTTTCAAAGTTGATGTGTATTCTCTACTTCCTATTTAGCCATATCTCTTCCCACTATATTGTTACTGGAGGTATTGCGATCTAGGTCCATATAACCTAAACCAGAAAACTCTTCTTGGATTTTTATGTAATGAGAAAAAAGGTAGATTCTCATGGAGAGAGGTTTGTGTGGTTCTTGATTATTCCTGAGGTTAATGTTCTTATAGCAACAGATAGGTCTCTGCATTTTATCTATTTGTTTATTTTGGGTTCTAATTTCTCTTTAAATATACCATTGAACTGGCTAAATAGAATACATATTCATTATTCTTTCATCATATCAAAATGAGTTTTCCTTACTAAATTTCTAATACCATTGTAATACCATTTTAACCAGACAGAAAGTCAGTCAGTAATTTTTAAAGAAAGTAATGGAGATTATTAAACTTTAACTTATTTTTAGGCTAATCAAAACATGTTTTCTGTGGTTGGGGAGTCAATATTCATAATTGTTATTCACAATTGTATCATATCCTAGGAAAGGTGGCTGACTCCAGACCACACATAAATGTTAGGTGTGTGCACGCACACGTGCTATGTGCTTGTACAGTATCTCCCCCAGCCCCGCTGGCACAAAACTAGGACAGTTATTAGGATATGGTAGAAATGCATGACAGTTTATCTAACACTAAAACAACTACATTGAAAAAAATTTCCAGATTGTCTTATGTGTCTGGTAAAATTATTTCCCCAATTGCCATCCTATATAATAAAAGCCTAATATGCTAAGTATCTGGTCATCCGGTTGTCCGTTCAACCAATCAAAGCGTAATATGCTAATGATATGCTAAGGCCACTCAATTGCTTGCTATAACGTGCACTGATCACCAGGGGGCCGGCACTCGAACCAGTAGGTTAGCTTGCTGCTGGGGTCTGGCGGATTGGGACTGAATGAGACTGGCCAGACATGCCCTGGAACCCTCCTCCAGTCCCTCCCGGCTGGCCAACCTCCCGCGTCCCTCCCGGCCCAACTGGTGGGGTCCCTCAGCCTGTACCCTCTTGCAATCTCAGGAGATGTCAGAGAGCCAGTTTCAGCACAATCCTGCAGGCCAGGCCGAGGGACCCCACTGGTAAACGAATTCATGCACCAGGCCTCTAGTTTAAAATATCAACAGTGGTTAGCATTCCATTGTATCACTCAATGGAATTCTCCATGCACTGTAACCAGTCTTCAGGAAAATCAGTATTTTATCTCTATTAGCAGACAAATATAATGATAACTAAGAAAGGGAGCATCTTTGACCTATAGTTGATTTCTTATTGAGGTATATGTTATGAAAAAGATAGAAAACTGAAGTTCAGAGTGGCAGGAAATGAAAGTAGTAAATGATTGGAGGTAACAATATTTTGGTGTAATTTATTATGCAGTGTAGTGAGAGAAATATTAAAAATTCAGTGCCTGCTGCACATAGGTGGACATCCTGAGAAGCTAATGAAACTTAAGCTTCAGTGCCGCTCACTTACACATGCCCCTTCCAATTTTGCATGTACCTAATTTTGCATTAGGAATTATGTATTAATTTTCTTGAAGAAAATCAGCAAAATTGTATATACTTCTGGCCCTACAAAATCAAATAACCCCTTTGATTAAGGTGAAAAAACTTCCACTGCTTTTCCTGTTAGAAATAACATGGGGTATTTGTAAGATATACTTTTAAATAAGGTTGTGAATTAGTTAAAGTATCTGCTAGTATATATAAATGGCTTTCTCATAATATACATTATATGATATATAAGGAGAGAGTTTCACCTTTCACATATTTGTCAGTTCTAAATGATAGAAAAACAATAAATAGGATTTTAATTGTAGCTGTTTTTTTTAGGTTGGCTGAAAATATAGAGAGATTTGGAATTTGAATGCAGATGAGTCAAGAAATTTAATGTTACTTAAATATAATTTTGCTTCATTTTACCCTATATGATGGGCTATATGTCGGTGCTGATAATGTCTACAAGGTTACATTTGACTTTCCTAACCAAAGTCAGGCATTAAGCACATCATTGTGTAACTGACAACAAGCTCATGGTGGATATAAATTAGAGTAGGTAATGAGTCATTTTGACAGCTTCTGTTTACATTATTTATATATAGATAATAGGATTACCTATAATGTTTTTAGGCTAATTTTCTTATAAACGGCATTTTTAATCTTTTCCATCATATATCATACCTAGAAGTGTAACCTCTAGGTATGCACTTAAAAAGATATTTTAACAGTTATATTTAAGAAATAATCCTTTCTTCTTTCTATTGCATTTTTCAAATTAGTTGGTATAAAAAATAAATGCTCAGTCTAGTTTTAGATTTGACATAAATTCACAAAGGCGTAAGTCATGGTCTCACAGGAACTTCACCTGTTTTCCATGTTGTGAGATATTGTTTATAACCTCCAGGGGTATTAACTTGATCTCTTTGAACTATTTCTGTTTTCTTGGAATGAATCAATGACTCATTTTGTATTATTTTTGGCATGATATCCTCAAGGTAGGAGTAAGTCTTATTTGAATCTATACAATTACTGATATTCTTAGATTTACTTACAACCACTTAGGTTTAATTCCTTGGTAGTCCCCTCCCCCCTCTTCTGTTCCCATTGACTTGAAAACATCACTGGTGGATGGTTACAGTCTGCAAATAGTTATCTGTTACATGTGTATTTCAGCTATAGATCGAGGGTACATTTATAATATCAATAGTCACCTTAATATTTTTATAGATAACAATCCACTCAAGAAACTGGAGCATTAGGCATCTATCTGAACACCAGACAAAATGGGTGCACTGGTTTGAAAGTGAACATCCTTTTCCCCCTCAACATATACACTACTGGTATTTTTTAAAGAATGACTTTCAAGTGAATTAATTTATTGGTTAGAAGATTTGCTTGTTGAATCCATATTACCTCTTGCTGAAGTCTCTAAAGGCCACGCTGAAAGCTAGAGGAAAAATAAAGATGAATGCACAGTTATCTGTTTTGCCGCAGTGACTGTATTTTGAGCACCTTGTGTGATAGGGTATTTTGCACTGCATCTTGTGGGAAAACATCAGGCCTTTGGATATTACAGCTGTAACGGTTGGTTTGTGAGTGGTCTGACTTAAAGGAGGATTGTGATGTTAGACCTCAATTATTCCTGCTAATGCTTCCATGATGCTCAAGAAGCACATCATCTCACACTGGGAAGCAATACAGTGTGGTTCTAGGTTCAAACTGTGTGATTTAAAAGTATTTCTGAGTTCTTTTGTTCCTAGCATTTCTCCTTTGTTCCAAATTTCCTTTCATTGAATAATCTATCTATCTATATATATAAGCCTAAGCAACCAGACAACCGGACAACCGGCTGGTAGCTATGATGCGCACTGACCACCAGGGGACAGATGGCCAACCCAGGAGCTGCCCCCTGGTGGTCAGTGCGCTCCCACAGTGGGAGCACTGCTCAGCTGACAAACAGGCACCAGATGCCTGGCTCACCACTGGTGAGTGCAGCTGCAGCAGCACAAGTCTCTCCCGCGGACACTCCCCCTGCTCGCCCGAGAAGGGGCAGCAGGCGCAGTGGGACCAGATGAGCAGGAGCAGTGCAGCGCCCACCCTGGGCTCGGGCTCCTCCCCGGCCACCAGCCGCTTCCCACACTACTTCATGCTGTGCAGGATCTAAGCAGACAGCAGGCTGGAGCCTAATGAGCTGGCGGGTAAGGCCGGGCTCCGGTGGCAAGGAGGTCCATTGATCCCCACAAGCCAGGCCGAGGGACCCCACCAGTGTTCAAATTTGTGCATCAGGCCTCGAGTGTAATATAAAACTATTATATTTAAGTAGAAAAATAGTTTGGAGAAATAAAACAGATTGTTTCAAATGAATGTGTGCTTATAACAGAATAGAACTGACCTACATTAAACTGTGTATATTCATAATTTTAGACACTACCACATAGCACTTTTTAACTGCTCTGGAAATAAAGAACAATATATATGTAGCTGCGGTTATCACACAAACAACAAGGATCCTCCAAAAATTTTAAGTAGTCTGGGATTACTTTGATTCTTTCTTTGGAGAAATTTTTTTACCTAATAGTTTTCCCTTGTGAGTGTTATTTCTACTGGCATAAATCTGGAACTAAACTATTAATGCTTACATCTTGAAAACTGGGATCTTTTTACATTATCCATGTTCGGAGAATGGCATATCCCTTAACTCTTTTAGGCTATTTAGAGCCAATGCCTGTGTTCAAAATAGCCAATGGTACCTGCCAACTCTTTTGAGAATTTGCAAACATAAGCATCAGATGTGCTAAGAGTGCATTGCTTCGTACCATGAGACAGAGTGTCTCCTCTCTGTGCCATGGGTGAACAAACATCTAGTTGTGCTTTAGTGATCACATGCTGGCAACCTGTGAATGTCTAATAAGCACAAGTCAGAGAAAGGCAAGCCACGTGTCTGCCTGGACTGAATACTTGGGGAACTTAATTCGTCCTACTTTTCTGACTAAGATTTTACTCAAGATTTTGTAGAGCTTGGTTTTTGCTTACCATAGAGTGGATTAGATGGTAGTGATGCACTGGTAGAGATGGTTTTTAGTTACTGACTCAGAATTCATCTCATGATGAATCATTAATATCTTTTTATTATAACTTTATCTGTATTTACTTTATAAAAATGGTTTCAGTGAGTTTTGTGTTAAAATTTGACTTAGTAATAGTAACTTCTTTTTCAGTTCTCAAGGAGTAGAAAATTCTGTATGTGTGTTCATATTAACATATCATTAAGTAACATATATGAATGTATTTAAATGCCTTTTATATCCTATGTCAAGTGTCAGTAATTTGCACCAATGGAATCAATTGAGCCCAGTGGGGAAATAGTAGTTGGGTTACTCTGGTGGGTTGTGCTGGCAGCCAACTCTTTGATCTGTGCTTAAACTGTAATTTATAGACCAGCTATACCCCTTAGCTGGGGTCTGGAATGTATTTGTCATGACCTTGTACCATTCCCCTCATTGGTAGGGGTCAGGGGAATGGTGGATTTGTCCTGGTGATCTAAAATACAGGGTCAGAGAAATGCAGCTGTGGAGGAGTGAGCCTCAGTTTCCTAAGTGGTCCTCATCTGTGGTCCTTCGCTTTGACATTGTGATAGGGACACTTGGTAAAGTGGATTGTGTGCATTTTATACTTTTACGCAATGTCTTGTATTGATAAATTCTTAAGGAGCAAAACTCCTTTTCTGCACCTACATTCCAATCATATTTGGAGTACTAAGATATTTAACTATAAAAATATAAATGGTGCACAGAGAATTTCATTCGTAGATTATGTTGCGTTTCTAGGGTTCTCTGGCACAGATGCCTATACCAGCATGTGATATGTGAAATAAAATGGATTTTTTTAGAGCTTAATGATTTCCTTCTGGGGAGAGTTCTGGTGCAGAAATCACACTGCCAGATGGTGTTTATGGGCTATTTGTGTAAGTGGTACGATACTATGAAATAAGTGTGATTTCATCTGGTGGAAACTCTTGACGCATATGTTTTGTATGGAAGAAATTCTGGTGCAATATGATGTCACTCAATTTTGCATTGAATTTAATTTCAATTGTGTTTATGTATAAGTATGCTTGAAATGCTTCCAGCTCATTAAACTTTTGTATATATATTTTTGTACATATTTTTTACTTGAAAATATTTGAAACGGAAAGTAAATAAACATTTGATAGTTTACATAATAAAAGTCATGTTTTGGCATTTGTTTTTAAGCACTGTACATCTCATTCAATGGAAAGTTTGGGTTTTAATGATTAGATTTATCTGTCACTGATTCTGTGAATTTGTTGGTGGCTCCCACTTATCATCAATTTTCTGTACTAAAAATTGAAAGAGGTGACAGTTTCAGTAAACATTGTAGACACTCTTCTCCCTTATGATCTGCATCCTTCTGTCCTCTGGTCTAAAATAGCCAGCAACTTCTTTTGTTTTCACTTGCCCCAGTTCAGTCTTGCTATTTCTTACCTCTTAACAAAAGTCTCATCTCTTGTCTCTCTTTCATTCAGCCTTCATATGTTTCCCCAGATTGTTCTTTCTGAAACAGAAATACTATAAACATCATTAATAGTTTCACCTTTTTCGCCCTGGATAGATAAAATCCAAACTCCTCCGTGTAATATACAGGACTTTCCATTATCTGCCACCTTTCTCCAGCTACAAATGACCACTTCTGTATTCCCTGAAGCCATATTAGATGCATTTTTTTAGTAGTTTAACAAAGAAAAGATGCCCTTATTTCATTTGACACACTGCAGATTTACAGGAATTATATTTTCCTCCCCCCTTCTTATATCCTACTCCCCACCTAGCAGACTTCTACCCAAAAGTCATCTCTTCCAGAAACGTTCCCCAAGCTGGTTCAGACCTGACCCCTGAGCACTTTTGTTATCTATATACCTGTTGGCCATTGGTATGTCTTTTTGAAAAATGTCTATTCAGGTCCTCTGCCCATTGTTAAAATAAATATTTAAATTTATTTTTTATTCTGTTGAGTTATATGAGTTCTTTGTTTTAAATATTAACCCTTTATCAAATATTTTCTATTCCACAGGTTGCCTTTTCATCTTGTTGATTGTTTCTTTCACTGTGCAGAAGCTTTTCAGTTTAATGTAGTCCCAGTTGTTTATTTTTTTCTTTTGTTCCATGTGTTTAGTGTCATCTACAAAAAAAATTTACTGCCAAGACCAATGCCAAGGAGCTTTTTCTCTGTTTTCTTCTAGGAGTGTTATGGTATCGGGTTTTTACATTTTAGTATTTCATCTATATTAAATTATTTCTGGTGAGTTGTGTAAGACGGGTGTCAGTTTTCATTCTTTCCATATGGATATCCAGTTTTCCCATCACCATTTACTGAAGACTATTATTTTCTCCAGTGAATATTCTGGATGCCCTTGTCAAATACTAGTTGACTGTTCATGTATGCATTTATTTCTGGGCACTTGACTCTATTCCGTTTGTCTGTATGTCTGTTTTTTGGGTGTTTTGTTTTTTTTTTTGTTGTTGTTGTTGTTGTTTTTGCCAGTACCATTCTGTTTGATTACTAGAACTTTGTAATATAGTGTGAAATCGGGAGTGTGAAGCCTCCAGCTCTGTTTTTCTTTCTCAAGATTGCTTTGGCTATTTGGGATCTTTTGTGGTTCCATAAACGTTAAGATTGTTTTTTTCTTCTTTTTCTGTGAAAAATCTCATTGAAATTTTAATATGGATTGCATTGAATCTATAGGTCACTTGGGGTTGTATGGGCATTTTAACAATGTCAATTCTTCTGGTCCGTGACATGGGATATCTTTCTACTTATTTGTGTCTTCTCCAGTTTCTTTTATCGTTGTCTTATAGTTGGCCGTGTAAAGGTCTTTTATCTCCTTGGTTAAATTTGTTCCCAAGTATTTCATTGTTTTTGATGCTATTGTGAATAGGATTGTGTTCTTTATTATTTTTCAGATAGTTTGTTGTTAGTAAACAGAAACAGAATATTTTTATATCTTGATTTTATATTCTGCAATTTTACTGAATTCATTTATTGGATCTAAAAGTTTTTTGGTAAAGTTTTCTAAATGTATGATCATGTCATCTGCAAAGACAATTTTACTTCTTTTCTGACTTGGATTCCTTTTATTTTTGTTACTTGCCTATTTTCTCCAGCTAGGATTTCCAGTACTATGCTGAATAGGAGTGGTGAGAGTGGGCACTCTTAGAGGAAAAGCTTCACCCTTTTATGATTGAGTATTCTGGGTTTGTCATGTATCACCTTTATTATGTGAAGGTATGTTCCTTCAATACCCAATTTGTTGAGAGTGTTAAATCTATACTAATAAAAAGGTAATATGCTAATTAGACCAGGTTGACTGGACATCTTCAGGATGTCTGACTTCCTTCCAGACAAAGCCATGGTGGCAGGGGCCGAGGCAGAGGTGGTTAGGGGCAATCAGGCTGGCAGGGGGGCAGTTAGGGGGCAGATAGGGCAGCAGGGGCAGGGAGGCAGTTAGGGGGCAGGCCAGCAAGCAGAGGTAGTTAGGGGCAATCAGGCCAGCAAGCAGAGGCAGTTTGGGGGTGATCAGGCAAGCAGGCAGGTGAACGGTTAGAAGCCAGAGGTCCCGGATTGTGAGAGGGATGTCCTACTGCTGGTTTAGGCCCCATCCCGCAGGGGTCCCCGATTGGAGAGGGTGCAGGCTGGGCTGAGGGAACCCCCTCCCCCGTGCATGAATTTCATGTACCAGGCCTCTAGTATATTATAAAAGGATGTTCTAGTTTGTCAAATGCATTTTCTGCATCTATTGAGAAGGTCATATGATTTTTATCTTTTATTCTATTAAGGTGCTCTATCATATTCATTGATTTGTGTTTATTGTCCTGTCTTTGCATCCCAGGAATAAATCCCACTTGATCATTGTGTTTGACCCTTTTAATATGCTGTTGAATTTGGTTTGTTATTTTCATTAGGCTGAGCTCCCCAGCCAGCTGGTGTCACTGGCTGGACTCTGTTCAGTCTGGGCCGCAGGCTCAGTTCCATGATTGGACAGTCACCTGGCTATGCTCCACTCTTGGGCGAGGTCTTTGGCTGGAATCCCTGGTGAAGTTGGGCTGCAAGTTGTACTTTGCATTTAGGTGTGGCTGGAGGCTGTGCTCCAGGATCAGTCAGGGTTGCTATCCTATGCTCCATGATTGCACAAGGTGGCTAGATGGGCTCTCTGCCTGGAAGAGGCCACTTGCTATGCTCAGCAATTGGGAAGTACTGTAGGCTCAGATGCCAAGGCTGCCTGAGGTCACTGTGTGGGCTCCCTTAGAGATGGGGTGGAGGTTATGCTCTGCAGTTGGACAGGGCTGCTGGCTTGGCTCTCTGCCTGAGCAGGACTATAGCATGGACTCCTCACCTGCCCAGGTTCTCTGGCCAGGCTTGCTGGTCAGGCAGGGCTGGAGGCCATGCCCAGCAGTTGTGTGGAGCTGCCCACTTGCTTTACTATCTGGGTGGGGCCGTAGTATGGGCTCTGCCACTGGTATAGCCTGCTGGCTGTGCACCTAAACTGGGCAGAACTGCCGACCAAGCTCCCTAGTCAGAAAGGAACACTGACTTGGGTCTACAGATAGGCAGAGCTATTGTCTGGGATCTAAGGGGAGGCACCACTGCCAGCAGGAACGCTGTCTGCCAAGATCTACACACTTTGTTACTGTGAACACTGTTCCACTTCTCCTTCTCGAACTGACCCCCCAGGGAGCCCTGTCAGGCAACACCTAAGTGTGCCTCCTAGGAAGCTTCCTGGAACGTGGGGAAGCTGGGTGTCCACGTCTGGCTCTCCTTTACCTACTGGAGAAATTGTAGCCGAGGCGACCCCCTGGGTGTGGCATTGCTCTGGCCTGAAGGAGGGGAGATGCAGTCAAAGGGAAACCATTCCTCTAACCCCACTAATGCAGTTTTTCTTGGTTTTTGTGTTCCAAGGTAGGTGCTTTAGCCTCACCTCCAGAGCCTGGGGTCTTCACAAAGGCATCATGTCTATAAGTAGTTGCTGGTTGCTCTTTCTCTGAGGGGAACTAAAGTCAGGAACCATCTATTTTGCCATCTTGCTCTGATACAGTTTTTTATATCCAGGTTTCCCTTACCCAATGTTCCATTACCAGATGTTTTTCTGTGCACTTATAGTGACATATTGATTTCCTTAAAAGAATAATTTGATATCATCCAGGTGTGCCTAATGATAAGAAAAGGTTAATGTAGAAAGTCTATGATTATTAGTTAAACCCTTTCTCAAATTAAAGCTCTCAGATTTCAGTGAGAGAATATTGAATCAAAGGACTGAAAGGGCAGAAGAATTGAACAATGGTTCAATTCTGTAATAGATGCTATTTATCATTTTTATTAAACTTCGTAGTAGCCATGTGCTTTGCATTGACTAGGATACCACTCTCTGTGAATAAGACAGATGACAAGTCTTACTTCCATTTTTGGATTAACAAAGTAAGTCCAAAATAGCTAAAATGGTGTGCTTAGAGTAACAGAGAAAGTCAGAGGTCAGAACAGAAATTCTGATTATCAATTCACTCTTAAATTTCAGAGTATTTAATCAAGCCATCTCTTAGGTGAAATCAATTGCTTTTTTAAAAATTATAAGTAAAATATTTACTCCAAATCTCCTACACAATTAACAATGAATTTGATGGTATGGGAAATGTACCATGATTCCTCAGCTCTAGGAACTCACAGTAATTCTGCTCAGATAAAGGAGAATCTTTAATAAGCCACAGGACACACCATTTAATATAGTGTGTGGTTGGCTGTGAAACTGTGTACTACAGCTGTAAATGCATGAAGAGATAAAAGTGTTGGTCTTGGCACTAGTCCTTAAACATTTGGAGAAGATGGTTAGAAGTTGATTTTGACTGTGTGTGTGTGTGTGTGTGTGTGTGTGTGTGTGTGTTTTACAATTTGATACAAGGCATGTATGCAAAGCATACTATGCTTTTGGTTCATAAAAGAGTTAAGTTTGAGTAGAGCCAAGGATAATAAATATAGCAATGTTGATTGTATCATGTCTACTTATGACAGAGCCTTTAAATCAGGATAATGAGTTTCATCTACAAATGGAAGCCATGGAAGGCATTTATGAAGAGAATACTATGATGAAAGTGGCAACTGAGGAAGGTTATACTGTCAACTCTGTGAGAGAGGAAAAATTAATGAGGGAAAATCTGAAATCAGCAAAATCTATCTGATGAACTTTTATTTAAAAATTTTTTTTATTGATTTCAGAGAAGAAGGGAGACAGAAACATTAATGATGAGAGAGAATTATTGATCGGCTGCCTCCTGTTGTCCCCCACTGGGAATTAAGCCTGCAACTCAGGCATGTGCCCATGACCGGAATCCAACCCAGGATCCTATCTGCTGAGCCAAACCAGCTAAGGCAAGCTGATGAGCTTTTGCAACAAGTAGCTATGAAGTCTAGATTAGGATTGGAGATAAAAGAGCAGAAGAATGAGAAATTCTGGAGAAAAAACAACAGATCTTTGTGCCTAGCTTACTATGGAGGAAGACAGAAGGAGTTAAAGTAACTAGGGTTTCAAGCCTGAATGAGCTGATGAGTAAAGGAGCATGTGATTGAAACAGGCATATTTAGTGGTAAACTTCTGATTTCCTTCTATGAGGAAATTGAAGCACATTTTCATGATGAAGTATTGAAGCTGAGGGTATGAAAATTCCATCTGGGTGCATTCCCTGAAAATTAGATTTCGGGCAAAAGCTCAAGTGAGAGGGGAGGATTTGAGGCATATATTGTTAATATTCTTGGGAAGGCTTATAACATCACTTCTCTTCCCTACTTGAATTATAAATAAATGAAGACATAAGTCAAAATTGTCAGGCAGGTAAGAGAACAAAATACCACCTTCATTGCTGATAACAGCTAATATAGAGGAATGTGATTCATGACTATGGGCAAGTAGGCTTTCTAATA